TGTCAATAAATTCCACTATATATCAGACAGTTGGAGCTATTTTTCAGTATAAATGACTCCATGGCCTGTACTTGTATAGCTCTTTTTTTCAAGTTAGGAGACTTTTCAGTCATTCATCCATTCAAGCACACAGTCACACACTGATGTTAGCAAGCTACATTGTAGCCACAGCTGCCCTGGGGCTCACTGACAGAAGCGAGGCTGTCGTACACTGGTGCCACCAGGCTCACTGATCACCATCAGTAGACAATGCAGGTGAAGTGTCTTATATGTATCATTAATACATTAATACGTGTCTTGTATGTATTAATGTATAATGTATGTATTGTATGTATTAATGAATCAGTGCTTCTATGCTCTACTTCTGTCTAGTCAAACCCTCAGTTAACTTTTATAGAGGGCTGCTAACACCGACCCTAGTTCTGCTGGAGGTTTTTTTCCTGTTAAAAGGTAGTGTCTCCTCTTCTTTGTTGCTGGATGGATGCTCAGTGTAAGGGATTGCTGCAAAGTCAAAGATAATACAAGCAAATGTCTAATGTTTCTACATGCTCATTCAGGAGGAGTGCATTCTGCAAAGTCAGTGACCATGTAGTCCGCAGGGTTTCTATAGAACATTTTGAACCAATCTGACTGTAAGATCTGATTAAATTGCCTCTGTAAGCTGCCTTGAGTTGACGTGTGTTGGCTCTGTATAAATTTGCTGAATTTTATTAAATTGTGGTTTTATGGCTTAACTTTATGCAGCAGCTTTTTATATAAGCAAGGCTATTTGTAATGACATTAAAAATGTCAGATACTAATGAATATATCTGGTCCTGTAGACTTTTTTAATTTGTGCACTACCTGCAGTAAATTTAACCTGGAAGTTTCTCATTTAAAAGCAAATGTTTTCCAAAATATTACATATCCTGATGACTGAGGAAACACAATTATTAATTTTTGTTGGGAAATTTAGATTTTATTTGTCTCAGTGTGTTCAGATGTGTCGTTAATCTGGTATAACTCTGAGCAACATTCTATGAAATATTTACTTGAGATTTTAATGAATGTGAAATTTTTTTTAAAGTAAAAACAAAGTATATTAGCAAAGGTTTTCCCTACATGTTGTCTTTGTTGTGTGGTTATGTCTTTTCTAAACCCATTTGAAATTATTTTCTGCTCTTTTATTGCTTTTTATCATAATTAATAGCTTTTTTTTTAACAGTTTTCTTGTTCACATTTCCAGATTTGGAAGTAAATTGAAATGTTTTCATGGGGCCCATATATGTATTTCATAATTGTTTTGACCACACAGGCATGTCACAGGCATGTCAATTTTTATTGAGAAAAAACATGATACAAAAAAATGCATCTATATGGTAGTTCATAGCATTAAAAATATATATTGCAATTATGCATTGTTTTGGTTTGGTGTTGTCAGTTTGATGCAGAGTCTGTGACATGATTTAGAGTTCGGTGTTTGTGGGGAGGAAGCTGTTTCGGAATCTGCAGGGCGTGCATCAGATGCATGAAAACCTCTTCCCAAAGTACATGCAATTTAAGAAAAAAGCTATTGGTATTCAGGAATTAGGACAATGCATGGTAATGGCTGGGAAATGGCTAAGATCACACACAGGTGTAACAGATCATTACAGAAAAAAAAAGTCCTTTAGAAAGATGATTGGAGCCACTTCTGTGTATGCTAGGAGCTTTTTAGAAATAAGTCATTCCACCCTACAGGAACTAGTACAGGTGGAGGGGTTTCAAAAAAGGTCAACTTCCCCATATGTAGATGTGTTAGCAATTTTACCCTGAGAGCAGATGAAAAAAACTGAAAGAAGACTCTAAATAAACCCCAAAATATATTTGAAAAGCCTAAAGTAGGCTGTTGCTGCTGATGATTTGAAGAGACTTACTCCAAAATCTGTAAGAGACTGCATTAGTTTAACTGTAAACTGAAGGTGTACAAGGAAGAAACCTTGGTTCTTTCAGGAGAAAATGAAGAAAGCCAACCTTAAGTTTACTAGACATAATGAAGACATGATAGTTTAATTTGTGGACAGTAGAACAGAGGATGGTCTTATATCTGGCATAAAAAAAACATTTTGGCTGTGAATAAATAACTCTAAACTTGTCATAACTAAGAGAAACCTTCCCTGATAGACTCAGAAAACGTTCCTTTGAGTGATAACAGAGACTGACAGATGAAGTTATTTCAGCTATGGGGAAACAAGCTTTCTCTTTAGAACATTCCTTCTTATTAATATATTTTGGTATATTTCTAGCTAAAAAAAAAAAAAAAACTATTAGTTCATGCAACCAACAACATATTTTTGATGGATAAAAGAAAAAGGTTAGATATCAGTATATCTGTGTTTCTTTATTAAGAACTGATTTTTTGTTTGTTTATTTCTTATTTATAGAGTCAGGACAAAAATTAAGCTGATTCATAAGAATGTCCTAAGTGTAAGCGAACTATATGATGCCTACGACAACCAAATCTCTGTGGTTAAACTGTGCAGTTGTCAACGTGAATTTGCTGTTGGGGTCAGATAAATTTTACAGAAGGCTGCAAGAGGGGGTTTCAAATAACCATTTGCAAAGTGTGGGATTTAATGATATCCTTCTAAGATCCAAGAAATTTAAAAAAATACATATTTTTCCTTTAAATATTTTAAAAAGGGTGTTGGGGAAGCACTTTGCAAAAACTATATATATATATATATATTTTTTTTTTACATAAAAGGAACTGACCTGGTCATTTGTAGTACTTAAAAGTTTGTCGTTAAAATGCAATTTTAAAGTAAAATATTTGCAAACAACAATATAGTTCAAACTAGAAGTCACTGATTTTTCAGAGTAAATTCTGTTGACCATTTCAGTCAAATATAGAGCATCCTATTTTCTTAGTATCGTCTCTGGGTGGGTTTTCCTATCTTGGTTTATAAAGACAGCTCTTCATTATTTGAACCATTCCAGTACTTCTGACGTGTTTGTTATTGACTTTTGAGTTCCTTGCTCGAAAGAAATTTCAATTGTTAGAAGGTTTATTTTGCAGCTTGCTCCAAGAGCAGGATTTCTTGTTATCACTGAAGCTACAAGATACTAATGGCCAAATTAACTACATGATAGAACTTTTTTTAGGTAACTGTATAGTTGTGAATCCATGTCACAACAACCCCAGCCCCACAATCACAAACACTAAACATCCTGTAGTAATTACATTTAATCATACTCTTTTCCACTATTGAGCATTTTTTCTATGGATAAACTTTACATGCACAAGTGCACCCTCACAAACAATTACAGGTGCTTGGCTCCAGGTACTCAGAGATTCACTTCCATACAGAAACCCCACATTCATATCTTCAGGTAACACAGAGTACATGTCAGACTTAATAATATTACTTTAGCGATAGTTTCAAGGTGTTGCTTTATTGTATGTCTCGTACCATGTCTTTCGGTTGTGCTGTTCTTTTTTCATCTTGTTACAGGTGAAGAAGCAGACTGAAAATGTTTTGTCATTGTCTCCTTCCTATCTCCTCTTTCTTTCATCTTTTCTCTTTTTTTCCCCTTTTTCTTCTTCTGTTTTTCTGCTCTATTTACATTGCAGTGTCCATATAAACTGTAAAACTCCCTGCATAATTATAATAAAGCAATTTATATGCATGAACAAAGTGGAGCTATATGGCAAATGCCATAGTGCTACACTTGTAAAAGTAAAATCTGTTGGGCTCTTTTTGGCATCAAGACAATAATTCTTATTGCCACACTGACAGACAGGACACTGTAAAAAAAAAAAAAATCATACTCTTTTTGTTGTTGTTTCCAATGCCCTAATGGAAAAAAGAAAGAAAATGAAGAATATTAAGAATAAGATTCACAATTACATTTTCATAGCTTTTTTATTTTTTTTACCATCACTCATTTTATATTATTATCTTATATGATAAATCAAAATTGTTACAATGACTGGTAATTTCTCACAATAGCGTTACAATACATGACCAACCCTAGGTGTAGTGGGTATCAGAACATTACTGTCCAATGTTGTTGTTTCCTTCTTTTTTTTTTTTGGCTTTTAGTTTCTGTAACTATAAATATAAATGTCACACTAAGTGAAAAAGTGGTTTAACTGCTTGTATTTTTTAATATGTTCTCTTTTAAAACAAAAGCGGTTTTGTTGTTGTTTTTATCATCAATGGATTCTGATGGGAAAAACACTGATCCTCAATAAAATGAAAGGATAGCTCTGATTTAGTTTTTCCAATTAAATGTTTGTATTTTCTATCAGCATAGTAAGGAAGAGGATTAGGGCCACTGAAAAAATAAAAAAAGTTAACTGATTTTTAAATATTATTTCAGTTTAATATGGGAAAAAATTCTGATTTTAAATCTTAGAATTCTGACTTTTTCTCATATTTCTGACCTTTTTCTCATAATTCTGACTTTAATCTCAGAATTCTGACTGAATTCTTACAGCTAATAAACATGTTAGCACCAAGCTGTAGCCATGTCTGTTTTAGAAACTAGCTCTCTTGTTTTAATCACCTTCTGCTCTTCCATTTAAATAATAGCATAACAGGGACCCCTCAGGCACGTAAAAAGTTGCCTAATTTTGTCAGCTGAATGCTCTCACGTGTCTTCCTTCCTGGTGCCCATCTACATTAAGATCCACAATTCTGAGATTAAAGTCAGAATTCTGAGAAAAAAAGTCAGAATTCTGAGATTAAAGTAAGAATTCCGAAAAAAGGTCAGAATTCTTAAATTAAAGTCAGAATTCTTAAAAAAAAAAAGTCAGAATTCTTAGATTGAAGTCAGAATTCTCAGATTAAAGTCAAAATTCTTAGAATAAAGTCAGAATTCTGATATTTTTCTCATATTATACTGAAATAAAATGTAAAAATCAGTTAACTTTCTTTTTGTTTTTTCAGTGGCCCTAATCCTCTTCCTTAGTATAGGGCCCCAGGCCCCTGAAGCCATCCCTCGCTCCATGCTGCCTCACAGCGGCAGCGCTCGGACGTTACGTGACGTCGTTTCCTCTCTCCAACATGGCGCAGGAGGCAGGTCGTTAGCGGCCGTCTGAGGGATTTACCACCAAACCTTCTGTATTTATTTATGTATGTCTGCTAAGGGCTCCAGCCGCAGACTTTCTTGAAGGAATACATCTCCATTCGAGGCGGCAGCAGGCCTCCTCCTCACTCTCCCTTCCTCCCCGTCTCCTTGGGACCAGGCACACCTCGCTCCAGATTCCGGTTGCGACATGTATGAGGGCAAAAAGATGAAAAACATGTTCCTAACACGAGCTTTGGAAAAGATCCTGGCCGACAAGGAGGTGAAGAAGGCTCACCACTCACAGCTGCGGAAAGCCTGCGAAGTGGCACTGGGTAAGTTCTGCTTTAGCATCTCCATGATCCCGACTTGGACCCGATTGATTTAACACGTCATGCAGGCTTTCACTTATTATTTATCCTGGAACAATGTCGCAGTCTTCCTCCACCTGCGTTTTTTTGTCATTCTATACTTTACAAGCTCGCTGTTTGGGTGTTATATTGTTGGATTATAAGGAAACATTTATTGTTTTTTTTTATTGACGTGGCGTGGACTCCGTGGAAATGACTCCGTACGAAACACGGAAATGCTGCAGCAGGACGGGTGGGTGTTTGCAACACTGGTGGAGCCGATGCTGCGAGGGGGGGAGAACAGGCCAAAGATCGCTGAGAAAAAGAAAGTTGATACGAAACTGTTCCCATTTCAATCCCAGGGGCCATTTAGACAGATAAAAGGACAATAAAACAACCTACATTAATAATATGGTGAGATGCTTCCATCTCTTCCTGGAACACAGTGAGCAGGTGCCATTGTCCTTAACTGCACCTATTATTCATTTACCAGTTGAATCGCTGATTACCCAGGGCTCTCCTCTGTCTCTGCTGTGTTGCTACGTGATTAGTAATTAGCAAGAAACGTGAAGGTTGACAGTGGCAACATTTTTATATCGGTACCTTGTCAAATCCCGGAATTTATAGCTAGACTTCCGGTTATAGCCAATATGGCGTAAAAAATACAGCCAATGCTAACCAACACGCTTAATCAAACTAGCACATGTTTTTCTTACGCAGAATTTGATACGTAACAATTTAATTCTTGTAACTCATACTTATGCTATCGTATATTTACATCATTAAACCCAGCTTTTATTTTGAAAGAATTTGGTGTTACATCCGTTTTGAAAATGGCTTCGTTCGCTAGCTTTATAAAGCAGTTTCCTATCAAGCCTATTTAAACGGGCAGTTTTCCGAACAATCTATAAATCTGTATTAAAATAGCTTAATTAAGTCATGTCTTACAACAAGGAGATGTTGTTTTAGATCTGCTCCAACAGTACAATCATTAATCGGTGTACAATGGCTTGCAAAGACAAACTTTATTGTATTTTTTCTGGAATGTTATTTAGTATACCACCACAGAGGTATGCATATTGGAAATACAGCCAACAACGTCATGTTAACTGAAGATGAGCTGCAGAGATGCAGGTTAAGGTGGATCATTTGAGATACTTTCCTTTTAAGGAACATTGCAAACATTTACAAGAAAGTGCCGTGGTCAGACTCAAGACTGAAATCCATAATTTCGGCCTCAATAGAAATCTAACAATGTGCATCCCCCTTAACACAACATCCCCAGGGGAAAACATAGGGAAGGCAGCATGGTACTGTGTGGCTACCTTTCTTCTGCAGGGACAGGGAAGCATAACAAGGCATTTAACAAGAAGTTAGCTTGAGCTAAATTTGAGGCTATATCAGAGGAAAATCTGACTATAAAGTCAGGCAGAAGTTCACCTTTTAGCAGGTTTTTAACTCTAAACCTACAGTGAGAGCCACCCTTAAAATGGTTCAGATCAGGGATGAATAACTCCAAGCCCTGAGAGCTGGTATCCTGAAATGTTAAGAAGTGACTTTTGTCCAACTGACCTGAACCAAAAGGCTGAATTACAGCTTAAGTATTAAGGTTCTCCAGGGTTCTGTTAATCGTCTAATTTTTAAATCAGTTTTGGTGGAGCAGGGACATGTCTGAAAATGTCAGGACACTGGCCCCTCCAGAACTGGAGTTTGCCATCCCTGTTTTGGATCAAAGCATTTAAAGATGAGATGAAAAAAATTGTCAATAAAAGGAATTTAGCTTTCATTTTTTTCACAGCAAGAACTACATGGTTATTATTAACAAACAGCAAAAACAAAATTATCAGCTGAATCCGAGAACACAACATAGACACCATCTTAGCAACCAAATGCTTTTTCTTTAGCCACAAAAACAGTGACGTCACACCAGGTGATTGGCTCCAGTCCAACACTAGCTACAGAGATTGTGTTTTGGTTTTAATCTACGAATCTTTGTGATCGTCTGCAATAAAACTGAGATGTGGAGCAGTGCATTGCTCTTTGGGGGGAAAGAAAAAAACAAAAAACAAATATGCCCTCATCTGATGAGGCATGAGGCTCAAACATGGGGCATTATTGCTGGACCTGTTCATCTTCCCCTGAAATACAGTCACCTGACAAAGATCCATAAGTATCTTTCTATATTTCGTGGCTATTTGTTTCTGTGTGTATATCTGCCATATTTGCTAGAGAATCTCTCAGTGACATCACACTTCCGGATTTTCGTAGGAGCAAAAAACAATACAGAAGGGTCAAAATAGCGCATTTCTTTCTGAATCACTCTTGTATTGGCTGCACTTAACAACATTTAAGGTTTAGTCTTAGTTTAGTTTATGGTTTAGTCTAAGTCAAGACCAAAATCTGTGCCAAATTGCAGTTCATGTTGTCTTCACCTACAATTACATGTGCGTACTCTTGGCTTTTTAAATTTGAAACATAAAGAAATATATATAAATTGTGTGCTACTTCTTCAGAAAATTAAGCATGCAGGCAAGCATAAATGAAGGCAAACATCGTAAACCTGCCACATCAATTCCTTTTGCCTGCAAAGCCTTAAAAGACCTCTGCATAAAAATCTGCATGTTATGGCAAATAACTTTTCAAAAAACACCCCCCGTTCACCCTAAGTAAACCTGAAGTTCTTCCTTTACTCTGCATAGATGCTTGGAAACGTCCTGTGCTTCTTCCTTTTTTTTCAGTTCGGTTTCAGCACTAGTAGTAACACGAAACCGTTAGAGAAACAAAGAGCTTGTGTCATGGAGCAACCAAACATCCTACCTGTCCTGACAGTGCTGCCATTATTCTCATTTTCAGGGGTTGAATGATTTTTAATGCCCTGGAAGTTTAAATGCTCCTCTTATGTTAGCTGAGACTTGCTCTGTTTAGCTGCACTGACCCACCCACACACAGACATACATTCATCACAATTCCTCACTGTCCATGAAGCCAAAGAAAGATTGAGTCCTTGAGGGTTTGTGTTTAACTTGGATTTGCATAGAGCTGCTCCTCTGATTTGTGACCCGGCCATCTGTTTCTGAGTATAAGCATCTTAATTGACATGTTATGTCATTTTTGGTTTCGTACTGCTTAAAAAATGAAAGCTTTTAGTGCGTTTATTTAATTTAAAAGGCATAAAGTTGTTACAGATACTAGCAGATTTCTAGCACTGCAATTATGAACATAAAATAGGAAAAAAAGTCTATATCTGAATATGCTCAGACTGCAAAAATGAGAACCTCTGCACTGAGTGTAGCTGTGGCATAGTAATAGTGCACATAAAAAACAACTGGGTGACCCAGTATACTGAGTGACTTATATAACCCCCTCCTGCTCCTGAGACATCGCAAAGAGAGTGTCTTTGTCAGTCTCTTCTTCTGTCGTCTAAAAGTCTTCCAGTTGGAAATTGCCTCAGTGTGAAAACTAGCTTTGGTGTGATAGTTCTCACCCTCAAAACATGGGAGTGATCTGAGAAGCTTTACCTTTTGCTAGACCGTCTAGCACCCACATCGACCTCTCTCCTTGTTAATCAAAATGTCACTCTGGTGTTTCTCAAGAAGTTTTTTTTTTATCTTAGTTTTTCACGCTCTTTGAGGTGTAGCTGCAGTGGGGGTTGTTTTATCTACGGATCAGTCAGGCAGATCCTCAGTGAGGAGCAGTTTGATAGCAGAGAACAGTAATGGGTTAAGACTGACAGTCGGTTTAAAATATCAAAGGTCCCCCGGCTGTATTTGTTCATCACTTTTCTGTTTCTTTTTAAAAGAGGGTTCAGGCTTTGATCCATTGCCGTCACACAAACGCGCTTTCACATGTTTACAGACATGGATGATTCCACTGTTTTCAGTCCGAAGCTGTAATGCACATGGAGGTTCATATTTATAAATCAGTATTGCTGTACATGTAAAAAAAGGTAGATAACTTCCTTCTTTTTAATAGGCCTGAACCGTATTTAGTATAGTATTTTTTTTACTCCAATGCTGCAGGATATTAGCCTATATTAGCCAAACCAATAATTTTGGTAAATATTACAAACAATATCAGATGCATTATAGGCTATGGCTGGGAAATTAATTGCATTTGCAATATAATTGCAATTAAGGAAATTGCAATATTCAAATCTCAGTGGCACCGAGTTTTAGTCACATTATATCTAACAAGACTAAGACACAAAATTTCTCCCTCCAGCCCTTTAAGTGGCGGTAATGCACTTAAAGTAGGTGTGCCGCCACATTTTCATGCACAAGTTAGACTTGTCCTGCAACAATGGACTCATTGACAAGTAAAGTTAGGTTTACTCTTGGAAACCAGGGTGTCTGCGTGCGTGTCGCAGTTACCACCCCTCAGACCGCAGACAGTGCCGCAGATAACGTTGCAATAAGGAGAGAAAGGAGGCCTCTGGTTGATCAATTCTGTATCCGCTCTACACTATGCGTATTTCCTGTTTGGTACCGAAACGGCAGAAACTCTGGTTGTAGTTCCGTCCAAAACGACTGGCACACTTTGGACACTATACAAGACATCGAACAGGATGCTAGGTTGTAGCTCTGTGCGGCGGTTTGTTGGTTTGCACCCGAAGCCAAAACATGCAGCGCCACGGCCAGTCTTTCAGGAACGCTTACGGGTGAACTGTGGGCCGTCCAGCATTGGATGAGCAGTTGTAGACAGCGAACAAGCTTGTTAAACTGACACACGGACACCCACAATCCTAACTAGTTTATGATTGTGCCTCTTGCGTTGTAGCGTGGAATAACATGGCGCCACAACGCATTTTGACCATGCATTAAATTTAGCATAAATAAAAAATTTCTGCGTCATACCTGCGTCAAGCTAACTGTGACACCCTGCTGCAGGAGCATACACAGCCCTTAAGGGCTGGTTATACTCCCGCAGCAGTGTGTCGCAGTGAGCTTGACACAGAAATTTTTGATTTATGCTGAATTTTGAGCGTG